GAAATCTCTAAATAAAATCAAATATTTACTTTAATAACAGAATGGTAATAACTACGTGCCCGTTTCGAAGATAACACTTATATAAACAACAGAAATAGTATTGTGAAGACACTAGAAAGTTAACCTACTGAGCACAAATATGATGTTAAATTCAGATTTTGCTCAGATGATAGTGATCTGTACATCTGCTTTTCATTACTTTTGTTCTCACTGAAAAAATAAATGGAAAGATGAAGCTGAAGGTTTTGGCTGATGAGGTAGACTATTCAGACTAATGTTTGTTAAACTTAGTAGGATACACATATAGAAATCTAAAATGACTCTAAATTTATTGGTGTCAAAAATAAATTGAATTTCGCTACCAACCTATTACGGACGTAATTATACACTTTAAATTTTGAGCTAGCCATAATTAATCTAGTCTTTCGATTTTTGTGGTGACAATTAACATAACTGACAAAGTATTTTAGTGCAGTGAAGTCTTGGCTACTAATAATCCGGTCATCCTAATGCATTTACGAATTATAAGTTCTTGTTTTTACAAGCAATCCTATGCATATTGTGGATTTTTTTCTGTAATGTTAAGTTTTCTACTTTATACTTAAGAACGTAATATATTGACAATTTAACAATTCCAAAAGCCTGGAACATTTCAGTTTCACTAAACAGTTTCGTAAAATGATTGTCTATCAATAGAGGGCATGAATGAAATTTATTGTCATGATGAAGAGGGGTTCGTGAGGATTATTTTAGTTTGTAATTGCTATTTGTCACAGATTGATCTTAGTTGGAGTACCATCGGAAGCCCGAGAGCACTGAACATCTATTTCACCCTAATATGGAATCTACTATGGCGAACATAAACAATTCTTGTGGTTTTGATTGGTTGATCTGACTATCTCCATATTTGTACTTCTCTCCTTATCTGCTTTTAATTAGTCACTCTGAATTGATTAGTGTCCAAAAGTCATTCTTTCATCTTGCATACTTTAATTGTCTTTATCATTTTAGCACAGTCTAATGAGGGCATATATATAAAGCAAGGTTAGGCAAAACTTAAATGTTCACCTGTATGGAATCGGTGTACAGAGTTGCAACTGACTGCATGTTTAATACATTTTTGAGCAAAAGACTGGATTGAAATTATGATAACCATTACACTAACATGAACCAAACTACTAGTTTTTGTTTTTCTCTGGTCACGTAAACTTGAGGTAACTTTTTTCTCTTCACATTGTATTTTATGGGCTATAGGAATTTACTTTACATTCATCTTTAAATAAATAAGACATAACAATAACAATATATTTCTGACATAGAACGTGTGCTTACTTTCATTAGCAAAGTTCTTGCAATAACAAACTGGTTCCCATATCCATATTAAACATTGAGAACTGGATAAATATTTTAACTTAGTCTACTAACCCTCGTCTACTGAGTAAGTAAGAACTCGTGTTTTCAAAATCCAGTCCGACTTTCCTACTTTATGCTATGCTGTTGGTTGACCTAGGAGCTAACATTAAAACTAAAATGTAACGGAATATAAACCAAGCCTTACGAGTGCTAATTTTATCCTAAATCATCAATGCATAAACGACGGGAACGATCAACAGAAATGATCAAAATCAAGCTTAAACATTCGATAAAATGACATACTGCAATGTTTTGGATGGAGTTTTGTTCTTTGCGCTGGATGACTTGTGCTGATGATGTTGTTCAGAATAGCAATGAAAGCTCCACGACCAAACCAAATAGTAATAATAATAACAATAATAATAATAATAATAATAATAATAATTATTATTATTATTATTATTATTATTATTATTATTATTATTATTATTACTAACAAGACGAAATCTCCTACCATGCATCTTATTCACACGATTAATTGTGTTACTATTATATTAGTTATAAAGGATCATTCTGGCCGTTATTAGATAATCTTTCTTGTTTACAAATAACACAATTTTGAAGTATTTATGTCGTAACAGATGCAAAAGTTTGCCATTTTCAACATATAGCATTGTTAAATACAACCTTCACAAATTCCCATACTGATAACAATTATGTACATACTAGTGACTAGCTTGAAGATGGGTTTCATGGAGTTCTAGTGAGAAGTTGTGGCCAGTGCAGTCCAATACGTGTCGGGTGGAAACAGGTATCCACTTCAGACAATGAATAAAGGGTTGTACGACATCATGAATTGATTGAAGTTAGACATTAACATAGTTGAATGCCGGCTCAGTGGTCTAGAGGTTAAGCGTTCACGCGCGAAACCAAAGGTCCTTCATGGATGTACACTGCTGAGGAGTCCCATTCTAGGACGAAACGGCCGTTTAGTGCCTCCAGATTCTCAATAGCAATCTAGCCTAGATCGACTGATCATTTCAACTGTGAAAATACTACAATCTCCACACATCCCAGTATTGATAAATTCATTAATCCAGGCTTTATTTTACCCTTTGTAACATATCACAATAATTATGGACTTATAAATTTGTTCGCTCAAATAATCTTTCTGTGAATATTTTATGGGGATTTTTAAACTGCGTAAATATATGAATTGATAAGAGTTAAAACATCTCAAAGCGACTACTCACCTCCAAGTTTTGCATTTCCAACCCTCTAATTCAAAATGTTTGAGAGTCTTTCTGAGCTTGTTTGCTCTGAGGATTTTTGATTGCAATTGCTTAAGACCTATAGTTAATTAATCAATGCATCATTTGAAAATGTTTCTCGATTTATACCATTATGTAAATATTACTTATTGAATACATTGTTTTATGATTTTAGAACTTGACTTTTGATTATACATTTTGCTAGTCGACATGGAATAAATAGTATAAAAAATTATTAAACTGCTAGGTACAGAATATCGTCAAATTGCATACTAATCTTTCAAGTACAAATTATTGTTTCCAAGTAACTGTTATGGTTTTCAGTCAGTGAAATAAAATAGAATGCCTGAAATTTCTAAGTAATTATTAATTTTCCTTGGTTGAAATGGATTTTTAAGTCTAAGTCTTAAAAGAATTACTTTTCAATCGTGTTTCTGCTACCTATCGGTTAGCGTTAAAAACAACTATCTGTTCAACATCTGTAAATTTGATTGAAGAATTCATCACATAAGCATCTCGGATTTATTTGTGGATACGAATGATATTTCTTAAGTTGCGTACATCTTGCAATCATCATCCAATTTCTCATATTTATGTGCTATTAGTAGTTCGTGTAGAATAAGCCGCCATCTTGTCAATGTATTATTACAAATTAATTGACCCAACAACATAGACGATATCGATAAAAATGTTTAATCGAGGATTTCTAGTATGTCCTGACATTAGGTAACACTTAAGCCACAACTAACTAGTAGTCTTTCGTACACATGTGATAGTAATAATATGAAATAATGGATCACCGAACACTAAGGCTACATTGGTATCTAGCTTCAGTTCATTTTTGTATCAGTTGGACATAAAATTTATTGATTTTGTAAAGTTGTTTACTACGGACATCACTCACTGATCGATAAATTGTCATTCAATTCATATAAAAATTGTTGTTTGTGCGTTTGTTTTTCAAAATGAAGTTCTAATTATTAGACTGATTACCATGTTATCCAATTCTCACTAATGGCAAAAAGATTAAATTTATTGTCACTACTTGACTGTACCTACTAATCATCAGTACACAAAATATAAATATTTTCGAATAAACTATGCAAAAACTATTGTTCTACATTTAAAAGGTTTTCTCCATTATATTTAGTATGTTTGTTGTGCTGACACCATCATAAGTCGAATACAGATTTACATTATTCACATATGTAATTGAATGAGCATTTCCTAATTTTTTTAGTGACGGTAAACAAGTATCTATCTGTGTGCTCGCATGCGCTTGGTGCGAAATGCTAAGAAAAATTATAATAACAACAATTATTATTTTTTAAGTTGATTCCAAATCAAAGAGAACGGAATTTTGAGTCTTGAGTGCTATCAATCGATAAGTTCTTCATTATAATAAAAGTGATGGCTGAACAATCGTTGGTACATAGTTTTATATCAGAATGGGGGTTTGTGAAGATTGTAGTAATCTTAATAGTTAAATTCATAAGTCGATCTAAGCTAGACTATCATTGAAAACCTGGAAGCACTGGATGACTGTTTCATCCTGGTATGGGACTCCTCGGCAGTGTGCACCCATGATCCGCCACGCGGGACTCGAACCCTAGTGGCTAGCTTGAAGATGGGTTTCATGGAGTTCTAGTGAGAAGTTGTGGCCAGTGCAGTCCAATACGTGTCGGGTGGAAACAGGTATCCACTTCAGACAATGAATAAAGGGTTGTACGACATCATGAATTGATTGAAGTTAGACATTAACATAGTTGAATGCCGGCTCAGTGGTCTAGAGGTTAAGCGTTCACGCGCGAAACCGAAGGTCCTGCGTTTCAGATAGATTTTTCTTTAATAAGGGTTATATTATTAAAAATTATCACTAGTTAGTTTTCCACTGGTTCACAGGTTAGTGGTACAGAATATAAGTAAATTGACCTGCTATCTCTTTAATGGAATTTCTAAGTTCGCATAATTAGCACATTTGTTTTCTGAATTGCTTTTCCACCGTTATGAGCTGACAGTTTCGGCCGTCACTAGCCATCCTTTTGAACCAAATCTACTACTGCTACTATCTTTGATAGCGTTCATAATAATCAAGGCTCCATATCTCTAGTAATTATCACAATATAAATGAAAATCTATTTTAACAACTTCATTTGTGTTTTATGTGTTTCCTATTAGAGTTCTTCTTTTGTTTTGTTTTTTTATCTTATAACCGTTAATGCCTTGTCGTATTGTTTCGTTTGTTTTGATTTCTTCCTTTTCAATTTCAATTTTTAGTTGAAAAAACTATCTGAAACTATCAGATTTGTTTTACTGATGTAACATTTTACATTACCGTCATGATTTACAATAAATTATGTTTGATTTTATGTTTAGCATTCAAATGGAAAGAATGTTTGTGAACCCTCATCTTCACCATATAAAAGAAATATGAATCGTCCACTATGTGGAATAGCTTTGTTTGGTCCGAGTGAGTAATTTCTTTTTTTTAAGAATTTCGAATTCTATATAACCTGTAAACAGAATACGCCCATTGAGACATAAAATAAGAAAGATTGGCTCTGCGAAGGGTTCTCTTTTCGAACAAGTCATGTTCCAAGATGTACAGTTGTAAATGTACACTTATTTTTCAAAATGATAATAACTAATAACGATAATAAAATTTTGGTAAATGATAATTCTGCCGAAACACATAACTATACGTGAAACAGTAGTTCGAAAAATAACGATTGGTCTAAAGAACGGTCCAATTATTGAGGAATAAACCTAAATTGGTTGGAAACCTCAACTCGTGGGATATCTGCGAAGATCAAAGACTTTGCAAGTCTGGAAAGAGAAAGGACTTTTCTAATGATAACATAACTAGTAATGACAACACACGATTGTGTGAATGACAGATCTTTAGTGTTATCAACAGTTTATCAAAAATCAAAATGGGAACAAAGAGCACACAAATGTGGAAAATATTTCATTAAGAAAAAGATAAAAAGAATACAAATAAATGAAAATGAGTATTACAGTGGTTGAAAGTTATCATAAAAATAAATATTGCTTTCTGCCTACACCTGGTACCCTTCGTAGAGGAAATAGGCTGCCCACTCGCATTCTCCATCCAACTCTATCCTGGACAGTTCTTCTCACTTGCTATTCATTCTTTTGATATCTGCTTCCAATTCCCGACGTACTATGTTCTATGGTCTTCCTTTCCTCCGTTTCCCTTCACGATTCCCTTGTGATGCAATATATTGATTTCCTCAATGTGTGTCCAATCCACGTTCAACGTCTGCATCAGATCCTCCTCGTTCATCGGTGCTGCTTCCCAGATACGTAAATGTTTCCACATCTTCCAGAGATTCTCAACCAAGTGAGGTTGAGTTGCTGTTCTCTGTGTTATATTTACGGATCCTGCTTTTCCCCTTGTGTACGGTGAGGCCTACTGATGCAGAGGCTGCTGTCACACTAGTTGTCTCCATCTGCATTTGTTCTTGTGCATAGGACAGAAGAACCAGGTCATCTACGAAATCCAAATCGTCTAGTTCCACCCAACTTGTCCATTTTATTCCGTGCTTCCCACCTGATGTCGAGCTCTTCACAATCCAGTCAACTACCAGAAGAAAGAGGAAGGGAGGCAGCAAGCAGCCTTTTCTGACTTCGTTCCTCACTTGGAATGCATTTGTCAGCTGTCCTCCATGCACCACATTGCAGTGTAGTCCGTCGTATGAATTCCGGGTGATGTTGACGATCTTCTCGGACTCACCATAGTGTCGTAGGTGTTTCCATAAGGTTCTCCTATCCACACTGTCAAATGTTTTCTCATAATCAAGGAAGTTGATGTATAGTGACGAATTCCATTCAATTGATTGTTCGACGATGATCCGTAGTGACGCGATTTGGTCTGTGCACGGCCGATCCTCACAGAATCCAGTCTGTTGATCTCGAAGTTGAGTGTCTACTGAATCTTTTATCCGGTTCAGCAACACTCTGTTAGTAACTTTGCCTGGTACTGATAGTAGTGTGGTTCCTCTGTAGTTCTCACATCTGCTCAGATCTCCTTTGTTTGGTATCTTGATGAGATATCCTTTCTAGTCTGTCAGCACTTGTTGTTCCTCTCAAATCTTCCTTAATAGAACGTGGAACATGTTTGCAGTTATTCCGATGTCTGACTTTAGTGCTTCGGCTGGTATATTGTCAGGTCCTGCCTCGGTTGGGGCACCACACACAAACCAAGTGACTTGTGTGGGGCATATGTATTCGGTGTCCCGTTGTACCAATATTTATGTGTTCAAATAAATATGTAATAAATAATTGTCAGGTCCTTCTGCTTTCTCACTCTTGATTTGTCTGATGGACATCCTGATTTCTTCTATCGTTGGTGGAGTGATATGTATAAAAAGATCTGTAGGTGCTGCTTCGATATCCGGTGGATTTGTGGGATTATGGTCTAGTTCGCTATTAGTACTGCTATAATGATAGACCTAATCCTAAAATTGTAGACTTTTCATGATGTGACTACCTAATCTATGATATCTTCCGTGGAATCCTCATCATTACCTTCACTGACTTGTCGTACCGCAGGAATCAGCAGCATAACGTCTAGTGCTTTTGAAGAACACTTTTGGGCTAAAGATAGAATAATATATTTAATGTGAGTAAAGACAAGTTATGCAGACTGATCACATCTGCAAGGCTGGGCCATGCCATCTGATTAAATGAACGAATGTTCCCGCGTTCTCCATCGTTAACCTTCTCTTCGTGTCAATTGTTGAATATAAATCTTTTCAGTAATTATACGCTCGGCTTCAAAGGTCGTGTGGTTAGGGCCCAATGCCACTACAGATTCAATGAAACCGGTCTATTCAAGAGTTCCTCGAAGTGTTCCACCCTTCTGTTCTTGAATCTCAGTGATTGTCCTGCCTTCCTTGTTCTTGACCAATCTCTCTGATTTCATCGTCTCTTCCTCGTGTCATATAGTTGTTTCATATTTCTTTCTCTTGCAGCTTTTTCGCTGTCGTTGCTAGCTCTTCCACATATTTCTGCTTGTCGGCTCTAATGCTTCTGTTAACTTGCTTATTCGCTTCTGTGTATTCAGCTTGTGCCTTGAATTTCTCTGTTCTGGTTCAGTTGTTGTTAGTTGATGTCCTCCTGTTCTTTCTTTTTTGAATCTTGTCGAGGGTTTCAATAGAGATCCATTCTTTATGATGATGCTTGTTTCGGCCTGGTACCTCCTGAGACGTTGAAGTTAGTGCTTCTTTGATCCCTTTCCAGTTGTCCTCCATCGTAGCTTCTTTCAGTAGATCCTGAAAGGCTGTTGTTGAGAGTTATCCTGAATTTGTTGAGTTTGTCGGTATCTCGTAGGAAGGCTATAATGAACCTTTGTAATGCCGTTTCTCCAGTTTTCTACGGGATGGTGTTACCGACCCCATTCCCAACCCCCCTCCTTTATGTGGGCTTGTGGTGGGCAGTAGCCCTAGAAGAGCTACAGGAGGAGTTAACAATAAATATAGTAAATTTAATAAGTGTATGTAAACAATTTAGGATATTGCATGACAAACTTCCATTATATCATACGCCTAGAAATTATTAAAAATAGAACTAATCATTGAAATATGAACAAGTAGTACAAAGCGATACACAAAATATAAGTCGGATGAGATGAGAATATTGACGGAGATTTCTGACTAACTTAACAGTAACAGTGACGTAAAATATACAAAGGCATGAAAACATTATTTTTACTAAGGAAACCGACAAAAATGCTGGTTTTGATAGCTCCAAGGTTCATTCCGAAGATAAACAAAGAACTATAATTGGAAAGGGAATGCTCAACGTGATAAGGATCATAGAAACAAAAACAAATTAGCTTTGCCTTAAGGTTTATAGAGAAGATAAGCAGGGAGCAGATGTCTGTGAGAGAAGAAAGAAGAAGGGACTTGCGAGATATTGAGACTATGGTAGAAGAATGGATTTTACAAACTTCTTTTTTACGCAATTATGTTTTTACATATATGTAGCAAGTGCTTCGGCAATACTAACACGAAGATAATTGTCTTTTGAAGTCACCTACTTACCTTGTAGATGACTTTCACACAGAGCCGGTTTTCATTGAATGACGTACGCTTACAAGGTGTTAGATTATAGAACTTCTTACTAAGCCATTTCCTTCTGTTTTCAGTCAGGCGGGGTGATTTTTTGGATAAAATACACATCGGACGACCTACATACCTGGTTCCGCATGAACAGGTAAATTGATAGACTATTACTGAACTTTGTTTAGCTTGAAAACAATAATCCAAGGGTTTCTGCGAAGATTGCTCCATTGAGAGAGTTGGAAATTTCTCTATTCTGGATGCCTGTAGCTTTGAAATCGACGTGCATATATAGGATTTTCTTCAGTACGGCAGCTATCTGTGCGTTCGGAGGTCTGTGTTTTATGTTCTTGTTAATAAAATATTCTGTGGATCTCCTTTTTTGATAAGCATTTTCTTTAGGAGCTTCAGTTCATTATCTATGACCTAGGGAATACATAAACTACGCTTTAAACTAATGGAGACCCACCTGTGAAAGCTTGATAGCTGGCCATTCCACGATGGTTCTGCGTAAATTGATATTCCTATAGTCCCATCGTACTTTCTTGTCATTTCAACACCAAGAAAGAGAATACTTTGTTTGTTTTTAACTTCTAATGTGAAATTTATTGATGGATAACAGTTATTAATGTCTGTGGAAGATGCTTCAAATCGTATTTATTGTCACAAATAATATAAACATCATCCATGTACTTTTCATACAGGTGTAAGCTGTCAAAAGTTGTTTTAAGTTGATTGTTTTCCAGACTGGCCATGAAACAATAAGCTAGTAATGAACCAAGTCGAGATCCCATTGCTATGCCATCCGTTTATATATAAATTACGTTCTTTTATGAAAATTGTACACTAAAAGTGCATTGTACTAGTAATTCTTTTAAACAGGATTTTGGCAGTCCGATATTAATTCCATTATCATCTATGTATTTGCAGATAAAGCTAATGGTCTCTGTAAATGGGACATTAGTGAATTGTGATTCGACATCAAATGGAAGGATAATTTTGCTACCTACATTCACTTCTTTTATGTGATCATTGAGTTTAAAAGTGTCATGTAGAGAGTGCATACAAAGACGTTTTCTTACGGTTTTCAGGAGATCTCCCAGCCGCTTTTCTATAGAGTTATAAGCAAATCCGGACATATCAAGAACTGGTCAGAGAGACAAACCAAGTTTGTGTACTTTAGATAGACTATAGTCGTGGTATTAATGGTCCTGTTGGTTTTATGTGCACGTACATACATCTTCGTTAATTACAGGATCATTATTCATTCTCTTAAGAATTTCATTTAGTTCGGTCTTGTTTTTCTCAACCTTATCAAATATGCAGCTCGATTAGTCGCATGACATTCTGACCTGATATCTTTGTCTTAAATGTTTGTCTCTTCTTTGTTTGGGTGTTTCAGAATGCCCTGGATGTAGTTCAGCTGGTATCGAATAACTTATATCTCGTTTTAGTTGACAATTAGGTGATTTCATCACTAAGTGTTTGGAAAATAAAAGTAAAACAAAAGATTTCTCGTACAGCGTTTTTACGTAGAGTTCAGGTTTGAACAGCTCAATAGCTAAACCCTCTTTAGTTCACAACTGTTTTATTTGTACTCATTTCGATCCCAACTCTTTGACCGTATATATTGTTTAAAAGGATGAATCTGCTGTGACAGCTTGGGTAGGAATGAAGACATGTTCCGAAATTTAGCTATCGATTGTTTTGGATTTTCTTTATGAAAGCTTTGGACAGTAATGCTCAGAGATAAGTTTAGGAATCCATCGCTTAGTAGGGCTGATGTAATCTGCTCCAGAAGGAGCAATAAACTGATAGATCTACATTGGTTTGATCCAAAACAGCACTTGATCTGAAACTTTGAAAGTAATTCAGTCTTTGTTAACATACACTCATTGACTGAGCAGATTTTAGTCCTTAATATCAGCAACTGAATAATACAAATCCTTATGAATAAGCGTTCCATATGGTGAATAAGTTCGTGATTTTCTGGACTCAGCAGTTTAGTGGATAATGAGTTGGTGTTAGGTACTGGAACAAGGTCTCAATATGCACACTAAAGGTGGGATGCAGGTACATCCAACTAACGGGTCCCAGATATGGTGAGACGCAAGCTCTGAGTTGCAATGTCAGCCACAATCCAAATATACTGGAAACTTTTAACTAAATGTCAATACTGATACATCAACTCGGGATGCGCATATGCTGACAAATACTGGTCAAACTTTAATCTTCAACATTGTAAACTGGATAATATAAAATCCTTATGAATAGATCAAACAATAAACTGTGAATTCCGTCCAAGTGATCGCCTGTTTTCGATTCTTTATGCAGTCGGACATTGATTAGTTAAGCTCCTTAGGAATTAAGTTATTGATTAGCCAAGTTTGATTGTGGTAATATTCCCCGACAGTTTCGGTATTGGACCGACAACTACCTTCACAACTAATAACATTACACTCCACATTAAAGTTTTATTCGTGTCAGAGTGATGTTTTCCCTAAGCTACCGTTTGAAAACGAGAGGAAGTAAGTGGATTTTAGGTATCAATCGTTGGAAAGTGGACAATATTGTTGAGGAGGTGCACCAACCTCATTGTACAAAACTGATACATGTGTTATCCTCTATTCTTAACCTCACGTAACTCTTAACGGTAATTTCGAAATAACACATGAAGAATAAATGTTTATATAATAGAATTATAAACTTGACCAAACATTTCGTTTTTACTTACCAACAGATATTTTTTATGACTTCAGGAAATGAACTTTTTGGTGAAATGAAAAACCGACTAAAATTAAGATCAACTGGACATTCAGATACTAAAGAATCGCCTTCAGAAATGTTGACGAACAATGCAGTTGAACAGCAGGAACCATCTTCATATGACAATACTTCTTCTAGTATGTCAGCGAACTCCAGTCCCAGATCATCAATATATGATGATTTTGAACAATCTGAGTCGAAAACAGTATCAGATATTTTATTGGTGAGCTGTTTATTATCTATTGGTGACTTACAAGTTTCCACTTGTAATCCTAAACTATGTAAACTTTAATTACATAACCATTTCTCACCTAACTTTCTGTCGAGAAAGTTTTTCTGATCTTTTGGAGAATTCAAAGTACATGAATCATCGGTCGTACACTACGGTATCAATTTCTACTAAATAATTAAAGAAACTGTTTCCAGATTGAGGTTTATAAATAATGGGGACAAAAGTGTGAGATCTACAAGTGGGAAGTATAGTGTTTCACGTATCTTATATGACACCCAGTATTATCTAACATCATGTTAGGGTTTTTTCTTTATGTTAACAGACAGACATCATTTTCAATGGAAATAACATTAGGACAATAATAGTATATTTTATGAGTGCGCAAAGACGCTACGATTTTGTGTTCGTTATAGGGACCTTGTCTGAGTTTTGAGTAGGTCGATGGATATAGTGTGATAGTTCCTGTGTAACGAACTGATATCAAATTTGTTCATCTTTTGATTTATTTTGATTTGATATGAAGCAAGATGTTTCATATTATTAATGAGAGATTACTGTATTTCCGCATAACCTGCAGTTTTAATTTATCACACACAGAGGAGGTTTTTCACTGTTATACAAATAATAATTAAGGATAAGAGGCAGAATATGAGTGTAAGCAACCAGCCTTAACACAAAGTCATGACATGACGAATCCGACCGTATTGAATAACACTTACACATGACTATTTGCTGTTACACAAAAGATTAACTATTCACCTGTCCTTTTTATCGGCGTTTTCCTATTCTTATCTATCAGTAATCAATGCGGACTTTACATAAGTATATTAACAAACAACTCAGCGACATATCGAGTCCCTAAGTTCGTCAGTTGCCGCATTTGAAGTTCATCGCAATTTTATGCGAATTTCGATTTCGGTCGTGTAAGAAATTTATATTCTGCACTTTTCAGTAAGCTAAATAAAATAATACCTTTATTATTGCATAGTGAATAATTGATTTTTCACTGCCTACTCATCAAAAGAAGAATTTCAGCAACGTCTGTTGTCAACAGGAAGAACAGAGTTTTCGAGATGAATCGACTTTTTGATAGTCCTATTCATAAGTCTATTTAAGCTATGCCACGATTGGAAACACTGGACGGCCGTTTCGTCATAGTACGGGACTCTCCAGCAGTGTGCCTCCACAGTCCCAACCACGAGACTCGAGCCCAGGACCTCCAGTCTCGCGCGAAAATTTTCGACCTCTAGACCATTGAGTCGGCACCCGACAGTGTTAATGTCTAACTTCGATCAATTCATGATGTTTTGCACACTTCATCAATTGTCTGAGGCGGATAAATGTCTCCACTTGACACGAATTGGACTCCACTGCTGAGAAGTCCTATATTAGGATGAAACGGCCGTTCAATGCTTCCAGGTTTTCACTGGTAGTTTAGCTTAGATCAACTCATGAATTCAACTATTAAAATTACTACGATCTTCAGAAATCCCCACTCAGATAAGAAACGATTTTTGTCCGATGTGTTTTGCTATTTATTAGTGATTCATGAAGTTTGACGTTTTTAAATAGTTGGCAGCTGGAATTATGTTCTTATACTTAACAAAGCAACAAGGAAAATAGATAAAATAACCTCTTTCTGCTGTCTCTTGCACAATGTCGCTCTTCAGTAGGAAATTTATTCAGATATGTTCGTGGATATATATATATATATATATTGACTTGATGATTGTTGACTGTCAAAAAGCTTCTTACCTCTTATGAACCAAACTGTTTTTACATTTATACTGGAAAGTACCCATAACAAATCAGCCACCAATCTTCATCTGTGAAATCCTTATCCTTTATTTGGTCTATATTTGTTAAGGGAAGGAATGGTGTGAAACTCAATTTATGTCATTTATTTCCTTCATTTGGTCTCTTTTACAAATTTTATTAAAGCCAAAACAACAAGTGAATTTATCTTATTTCATGGTTTCTCATCAGCTGCTTAGAACCGTATTCGTATTGAAGTGTAACATTGAGGTATGACATAATATAGGGTGAAAGACATCAGTAACATAAATAATTGGAATAATAAAGATTAACAGTGATAACTATATATAAGTAGAAAGGTGAATGCGAGGTCATTTGAAGATCGAATTAGAAAACACATAGGATAAGGGAGTAATTATACAGAGTCTGTAGACTGATAAGATGGATTGCGTGATAATTTTACAAAATTTGAAGAGGTACATAAGTTTTAGATCACTAGAAGACAGAACAATGAGATGGTAATTGTCTAGGATTTGAAATTCGTAAGACTGGTTACGTTTTAATGAATAAAATTTGAATTGTTCAGATAATTTTCGAGAATTGGGTGCGTGAAAAAAATAAATGAATGGATGATTTTAGCGTACATGAAATAGCAATTATTTTAGCAGAGATTGCATAACATAATGAACACAATAATAATAATTTCGAGTGATTCTAACCAAAATTGTGAATTTACCAAGGGGATGATAAAACTGACTAGTCCGTTTCTGAACACAAAAGTGAAGTTGGGGTTTTTTAAGCCATCGCATCTCTTAGTCCCAAATTCTTTGAAACGTGCTCCGAAATGCGATATTACACTTTAGTACAAATACAGTTGTATGCTGCTGATGCTAAACTACGAACTAAAATGAATTCAGAATATTCTACCTCATGGATTATTTATTTACAACATTGAAGACCAGCTACTAACTAAATTTATTATCGATTGATTTGCGAAAGGATCCATTTTTGAAACAGCTTTCTCTCATGAGCACAAGATTTTCTAGTCGTTCCCCGGAGCAAAGTTACGACCACAGTCGAAACATTATCACAAATACTAAGTGGGATAGTTGAGGTTTTACTTGAATGGTTATGGTTAGTTGTAAACAAACGGTAGTTCATTTCTCTAAGATAACTGTAGAAGTAGAGTCTATACTGTGTTTTGTCCATCACAAAAGGCTTGTTATCCATGAACATGTATATTTTTTCTCGTGAATACATCTAGAGCTCATTTGATTTCGAAAGATTTATCTAACAATAACAATGTTACATGAATTTTACTGTAAAGAACACATTATCATTATGATTCTTACATTGGTGCATTTGTATCTACACAGAATCGTGCACGTAAACCTCCTACACGAAAACCGACCTTGAATCGTTGCTCAGATGTTCCTAATAGACAATCATTTAACACTTCTAGTACCTCAGTTATGTTTCATCCAAATGGTAATTCCAAAATACTCGATGGTTTAACGGAATTTTTCAATCCAAAAAGTTAATTGCTGTACAGGTAATTTATTTTTGACTGGTGATAATATGCAAATTATTTAAATCTAGAAAGACTTTCCATCTATTTGATTTTCATTGGTATTCAAATGTTCCCAGCTTGAAAATCACTGAGAGCATAACCAGTCATTGTTCCTAGCCCGAATTAATTATTGTCTGAAAAGTTTCCTATGTTAATCGTTGTTATTACTTTCCTGAATTGTTTTTACACGTAGTGTGGTAGGTGCTGTAGAACACAACGAATAAAGTTCTTAGTACTATCTGGGTCTACAGTGAATTAGTAAAACACAGCAACTTATTACTACCATAAAAAAGAACAATAGCAAGAAGCTTTTATAAGTTGTTCGCAGGACGGCAGAGAAAAATACTCTACTTAGTCATCCGACAAAATGCTTATTAAGATCATGGTTCTTTATCTCACCACTGAACTACACGTTTCTTACGCTTTTCCCATGTTATCAGTTAACTGACTTTGGATATTTTCAATGCTTCTCTGTTGAAATCTTAACGGATATATATTCTCGATAACATATAACTTCTTTAGATTAAACGCACCCCATTAGGTATCTTCTAAAATTCCCATTTTCCTGGCCAGGTAAGAAAGGGATTTACTTTTTCTCCCTACCCGAATGAAAGCTGTCGTCAGTTCATAACAATCACTTTTTTTTCTGTTAGACGCATCCTATGGATTATGGTTAGATATGAGGATGTGGGAGTTCGAAGTTAATTTGTCTGCTAATGCAAGCCACACGGATATACAAACTACCATCGAATAACTGGTATATTTTATGAAATTTTATCATTAAGACATTTCGAACAAAAGTCTACAGAAATACCTCTTGCCGAATATTTGACTCCTCAAGCGATGTACTTTCCAACTAATGACATGTATAACAAGGTCCACTACGTCGGAATTCCGACAGCTATTGACGACGCAAAGTAAAATGACCAAATATGTAATATATTGGATAAGCTTATATTAAGTGAATCTCAGTGCCAAAGTAAATCCGAATAGAACGCAGAAGTACAATCCAAGGAAGCGTGTAGAATATTCTCAATCAATCCTGAGGCACACAGATAAAACTGAAGATAGAATCAATGAAATTTACCAGCTCTGAAGTCCAGAACGTGTGTTTTGTCAAACTTGAGACTAGTTAGCTGGAGGTAATTTCATCCCACTGCCAGCCATATTTTATTTCATATAAACTTGTAATATAGTGACTAACCTCGCAGGATGGAAATATGCTAAATCTGACCTAAATCCAGTCAAAATATCATAAACGGGATATTCCAAATCACTGCATATCAAATTACAAACTGGAGACGTACAATTGTCAAGCATTTAAAAATATGTTTAGGGGTGCATGCGACGGTGCTACTACAAGTCTAATGTTGAAATGAATAAAATAATTCTAGTGTTTTCAAATGGCAGCGTCCAATTAATAGTATTTTTAAGTTATTCCGATATTTGTCTGTTTGTATAAAAATACATTATAGTTGGAATTTAACTGGTAATCCGTGTAGTACGATGCATTGTTAATCATTAGGGATAATTAATTAGGTTTTGTTTGTTCATACAGTGAAAACTATGCTTACTAAGATTTCCAAGAAATATATTTTTCTCTGAAATGTTCGTTTAGAGTTGAGTTAATTTGTAAACCAACTAAAAGCTTTATGAACAGAAGTTCCCTACTTCTTAAATAATAGAAAGTAAGGAGAGTGATTATTTGATTTTGAAATTTTTATACGTCACTTGTCGACATCACTGAATACAGTGAACGGATATATCGCATTTCTTGTAATAAGACCAAGCAAGACAAACTTTAAGATTTTTTATACAACCACTTTAAAAACCATCATCCACTAAACTCTGGAGACAAGTATAGGCCGAACTTATCTTCATCTTGTCTGTCAGTCACGTTGGGACTGAAAGCAGATATCAAAAGATAAAAGGACTATATAGTTTAATTCACTTAGCATCTAACAGTTAGGTTGGTCTATATCTAGTAAAAAAAGCTATATGCCACCACAATTGATCAGTGGATCATTAGTGTCAGTGAAAGCTTTCCAAGTTGCATGGATTGACTTTTAATGTCAGTGAATTAGACCAGATTTAAAAATTCAGATTACACATGTGCTGTATAAAATGGTGTGAAACAAGTATATGCATTCTTAACTAACCATATCATAAATAAAAGTTACTGAAGTAACCCATGGTGGAAAAGATTTGTAGATCACTTGGATGATGTTGAAGTTTTGTTCTCTGAACTGGATGGTTTGGTCGTGAAGCTTTCATCGTTCTTCTGAACGACATCATCAGCACAAACACCAGGTAGTAGTGAAGTGTTCGAATTTCTCCACGTGTGGTTCACAGCTTGTCCTATATACCTCAATGTTGATTGGTTCTTGTTGACCCCAAACCTGTCATTGTTTACTTCTTTGTTTTGGTTGTATCTCCTATTGGCTTGATTCTCCTGATTGGTTGATAAATTGGATCGATTTCAGTGTGTTTGTTTATTGCTGATTGACTTGAGTGCCAAGCTTCTAAAAACTCTCTGGTGTTTTTGGAATTGCCGCTATCCAAAATCTCCACATTTTTTCAGTCGAATGTGTCCGCAGCTGTCCGCGTGGATTGATATATGTGAGGACGTCATGGCGTTTGACTGCTAATTGTGATGTTCATGCAGGCGAAGATGAAGAGGTCGTCCGCTTTATCCGATGTAGTGTTTTTCGCAGTTGGCACAATTTATTTTGTAGATGATGTTTGGTTTGTTTTCTTTTGTCATTTCACCCTTTGATTTGCATAGGATTGATTATACGGATTTTGTTGGTTTGTGCGCAACACCTATTCCGAAGGTTCTCAACAGTCTCGTTGTCGTTTCTGATTTGCATTTTATGTATGGTAGGGTGATCCTTTTGTTGTTTTCTGTACCTGACTTTGTTTCTGCTGATGAGTGCAACTGGTATTTTTTTATAGAGTTGATTGGATAGCCGTTCTTTTGAAGGATAGTCTTCAAGTATTTTTCTTCATTTTCTTCGTGCTGTAATTGTGTTGCAGTGTGTCCTCGCCCTCTTGAACAAGGTTTGTACGTAGTTGATTTTGTGAGCTCTTGGGTTGTTGCTACTGTAGTCGAGAATTTGATCTGTGTGGGTCGGCTTCCTATACACTGGAGTCTCCAGTCTACCTGTGTCGGTTCTGGCGATTAATATATCCAAGAATGATAGCTTGTCGTTTGACTCCTGTTCCATTGTGAACTTGATGTCATTGAAGACGTTGTTGGTCAGCCTGTAGGTGTTTTCTAGCTCATCCTTTTGAAGTAATCCATTGTGTAATTGAATAAAAATAAAGAGAATTCAGCGGAGAAAATTTTATTTTCGCAGAAATCATTTACTTAGGATGTACATTCATATTTATGGTTGTTTGGTAAACACGTAAGTCTGTAGAAAGATAGCATTCAAATTTCCAAACATCAAATGGGGTTGTGTAATAATCAGGGCTTAAAGAAGAATAAGAGAATGAAAATAATTTATGGGTCAGAATTATGAATTATTATCTGTCCACTTGACAGATATGAAGAGAAACGAAAAACATAAAAGTCATAATAACTGAATAATAATCATAAAAATTGTTGGAGGATAATAGTTTAGTGGCCCATTATTTTGACGCCAATTAGATCGGACGATGTTATTGACGAGCTCACCACTTTATGGCCCTTATCTGACTCCAAGTCAATCGTTTGAATGATTGTTGTTTGAAATATACATATTGTCAATCGTCGTATAAGATTATCGACTTAAATCATGTTAGTAAATAGCGGAATTAAATGAGTTAAATACGAGAATGAATTTCGAATGCGTGTATTTCATACAATCTCTGATCCAGACAAACGATCGAAGAAACGAAGCAAAGAAAGCAAAGTGAAGAGAGCGGAGCGAGACGACAGCAATAGAGAATGCGTGTAAGCCAACTCAAATTAACCGAGCGTGAATCGATATTTATAGTCACACAAAAATACAGACATGTGACGAATAGGATAACAAATGTACACATACACTCATATAAAAACAGTCAAAGTTAATGAGCGAATAACTCACAAGGTCAAAATATGATTTAAGAAGAATGAAAAGATTGGTCTGTTCGGAAGGTAGAATTAGCTATGTGGGCTTGACATAGCAACCGACACTACAATATAACTGATTACAGTTTAAATTTACGAAACAGTAATAAGAAATAAGACTGAAACATACCGTAGAGGGGAGTTAGGGCCAAGCAATGATGACAGGTTGGACGAATCGTTTTTGCACACCGAGTTCGGGCTTGCACTAGTGAATCACCAACGCCTCAGCAGTGCATAAGTTTTTTATTCGGCCTACCTTCTATAGTGACCAAGGCCAAGAGTGGGGGCAATCGAATGTATTTGAACACGAAATTACAGAATATCTCACTAAAATCTGAGATCCATACGGTAAATAGTCGATTTGCAAAATATCAATCAATTGACACAAACTTGACTGTTCCTTTTGCAAATCTCAGTCCATCGTCTCGGACTTCACTGTTCGTGTATTTTTATATTAACTGCTTTCCGTTCCTGTTGTTTCCCTCTCGATCTTCTAGTGGATATAAGTAGCCCACACTACACTTCCATCCAGTTCCTTTGATTGTTTAGGTTATTTTGAAGGAAGACTCCTTCGGAACGACTTGTCCAAAGTTGACCAGGTTTACTGTAATGAACTGTTGATTATTATGTATTCTTTTAAAAATCCCACCAAGTAATATCCTGAGATGCTCTTGGAAAGTGGTCGCTCCGTACGGCCAATGTGGCCTGCTCCACAGGAGCAAGTAAATTTATAGATGTACATCGATGTGGCCCAAAGTGGAAGTTTATCCTTAACACATTCGTGAACAGTAGGCTGGTTTAAAAAGACATTCCTAAGCTTAACCGAATTATCCAGAGAAATCCGGTTATTTCATGACTTCGGCGGCCGTATCTCCATTAAATCTGATGTTCAAAAAGTAGTTTTTTAAACTGTCGGTGATTTTTTAGGATATTGTTGTGGTGTTAAGTTCCCATCGACAAATCTAAGTGGATAACCATTTCTGATGAGTATTTGTAGAAGTTGAAGTAGTTCATGGTTTATTGTGTCATTAGAACATGTTCACTTAGTTCTCAAAGATAAAGAGTGAATTAATTCCCTTTTTCTACCCAATGGGACTCGGCTATAGAAACTTGTATACTGACCATTCCAGGTCATTTTTTATACATAGATCTGTAAAGAAACATCTGACCTTTTCAACAAGACATCAAGAAGACGAAATCCCTCGTTCGCCTCTCCTTTCAATGCGAATAGAATTGAGTTGATGAAAATTGTTGAGTCCATTCAAAATTACATTGAGGTCCATATCTTCTTCACAAATAATGAAAGTATCATCCATATACCCTTTTTATTAATGAAATCTTCCAATTATCGGTTGAAGTGTCGTATTTTCCAGATTGGGCTTGAAACAATCAGCCAAGAGGGGGCTTAGCGGCGAACGCATTGTAAATTCATCAGTTTGTCTACAGAAATCATTATTGAATCTAAATTGCACATTGAGAGTACATCGTGGAAATAGCTCTTTTAAATAATATTTTGGAATACAAATATCAAAGTTGTTAATTTCAATATAGTCACATAAAGAACATATATTTTCTGTGAGTGGAACATTTGTAAAGAAAGAAGCGATGTCCAATGAAATCATTTTTCTGCCATTTACATTAATATTTTTGATCGAATCGACAAAATCAAAGAAATCAAGAGACTTGTATCGGCTAACCATTTCGCAATCAAATGATATGAAGAGTTATTCATGTCAAGTATGGAAAGTAGGGGGATATTCTTCGAATGAACGTTTGGTAGTCCGTATAGTCTCGATATAGCGGAACCCGATGGTTTTAGATGTTCATAGAGGTCACAACTAATAATAAACTCATCTTCCCTAGGATTTTAGTCGACATCTGTTCAGTTTTCTCAGTCGCATCTTTTGAATGATTTCTCTAGAGAATTTGACACCATCCGATAATATTGAGGATAGTTTGGTAAAGTAGTCATGACGAACCATAAGGAAAATACCCTCACTCTCATCTGGGAGACATAGCACTGAAATCTGATTTACCAGAGGATCAAATAATCGAGACTTATGTCATTTTGTGAGTAATCGTCTAGTTGTAGCTAATGTGTTTACATATTAATTACAACAGTCTACAGTAACTGTAAATACGAATGTACAACTTAAGTAAATGATTTCACCGAAAAGAAATCTTCACTCAATGCTCTTTAGTTTTATTCAACAAAACTTACGTTAGGATTGTTAAAGTAGAGTTTTCACCCAGCAGTTAATCAAATAACTTTACATCCAGGTAACCAGATGATGTAAGTTGCAAAGCTTTTTGCGTATGGAGGACACGAGAGTAGTTTTACAATCGTATGTATATTAACTGTATTTGGTAAAAAATATATAAATATCTGTTTCTTGTGAATAATTTCTTTTTATTTCTTAGACAAATGTTGATGTTTATCATTTTTTCTATCAGACTAGATGCTCCGACAACTATTTGTGTTCAACCCTTCTCATAATGAGCTGTGAACCTCGATGACACATCTTATTTTCTTGAATCTATCTAATTAGTTATGTAACAAGACAACACAGCGATACCAGCTGCTTGACCACTTGATTTAAACTTGTAAAGTAACACAATATATTTCCTTTTGCATCTATTCCCATAGAATAAATAAAAATATGCAACACCCCAGTAGTATTAAAACATTCTGTTTTGTCCTATATATTATTAGACTTATAATCTTTCCCCTTGTCTATTTTTGTTTCGATATTTCACATGGTACCAGATTAAACTGTTGTAAACACTGACGTTGTGATTAAATTCATTTGTATAATGTTTTGTTAGTTTACTCATCACCTTTAGATAGTTATCTAATCAGTAGGGGAGAGAGATTGGAATAATACCATCATCAACTGTTCTCTTATGCAGTTGTTTTTCCTGTCACTAGAGAAATAAAAAAATACGATATAATCTATCTCTGTATATTCATAGTTTTAATGAACAGACTATGCATCTCTGCAGACATTTCATGTAGATAAGTCTGATACTCGCATGTTACCAGCATCTCACCAACAAGATAGCTTGGAATCCGAGACTTTTATTGAGGCCAAATTGAGTAAAATATTGAGCCTCTGGTTAGTTTCTGCAGTGATCTATCTTCACAACTTGTCTTTTTCAACAAGACATAAAAGTTACTTCATCGTAAGAGCAAATTATAACCAAGTTTTGAATGATATAGACTGCTGATTTCCATTTGATAAAGGAACGATATATCCAAAGATACTAGTATTTGTCAGTGCTTTGAATATTTTAATCTTTTAAAACTTCGTTGATTTCACACATATCAACAATCTCTCCTATATAATCATGTTTCGAAATTATATCCTACATGTTCATAGGCTCCATTCATTAAAAACTATAAGAACTAGTTGTTTTACTTTCTTTTTAATTAAAATGTTTGAAATCGTTTGTATGCCGACCCCAACGGCCCAGTGGTTAACCACTTACCTTGAAACTTATAGAATCTAAACTTGATCCCTGGCTGGGTCGTTTTTATCGTACAGGTGGACACAGGATGTGGTGAGTCTCGGTCTACATCCTAACCGGTCTCTTACCATACAGTAAGTGCCATATGAACGATGGATTCTTACTAACCAATTCCTCTTGTTCTGATATATGAAACAACATGATTAACTGAGAATTTCCATTTTTACTGGTGAAACAAGTCCCGTATTTCTCACTTTTGACTGACTACTAAAAAAAGGAAGTTTCTGGATATTCATGTTTGACCACAAAAAAATTCATGGACTGCTGAGATGTACTATACTATAACCCAACATTTATTCAGTTCTGCAAGGTTTTCAATGTTTCTTCAACTGGAATTAATCTGTGATGTAAAAATCTAACAATTTGAACGTCTATTCTAATATTCGTTCTACAACAACTTTCGTTATCCTAATTTTGCATTGACATAACAAGCAAAAATGAAATTGGTACAATCCATTCTTCTACCATAGTCTCAATATCTCGCAAGTCCCTTCTTCTTTCTTCTCTCACAGACATCTGCTCCCTGCTTATCTTCTCTATAAACCTTAAGGCAAAGCTAATTTGTTTTTGTTTCTATGATCCTTATCACGTTGAGCATTCCCTTTCCAATTATAGTTCTTTGTTTATCTTCGGAATGAACCTTGGAGCTATCAAAACCAGCATTTTTGTCGGTTTCCTTAGTAAAAATAATGTTTTCATGCCTTTGTATATTTTACGTCACTGTTACTGTTAAGTTAGTCAGAAATCTCCGTCAATATTCTCATCTCATCCGACTTATATTTTGTGTATCGCTTTGTACTACTTGTTCATATTTCAATGATTAGTTCTATTTTTAATAATTTCTAGGCGTATGATATAATGGAAGTTTGTCATGCAATATCCTAAATTGTTTACATACACTTATTAAATTTACTATATTTATTGTTAACTCCTCCTGTAGCTCTTCTAGGGCTACTGCCCACCACAAGCCCACATAAAGGAGGGGGGTTGGGAATGGGGTCGGTAACACCATCCCGTAGAAAACTGGAGAAACAGCATTACAAAGGTTCAATACAGCCTTCCTACGAGATATTGAAAAACTCAACCAATTCAAGATAAATCTCGGTATCAGGTTCCACACCTTACAGGATCTACTGACAGAAGAAACTACTATAGAGGACAACTGGAAAGGGATCAAAGAAGCACTAACTTCAACGTGTCAGGAGGTGCTGGGCCGCAAGAAGCATCATCATAAGGAATAGATCTCTATCGAAACCCTCGACAAGATTCAAAAAAGAAAGAACAGGAGGACATCAACTAACAACAACTGAACCAGAACAGAGAAATTCAAGGCACAAGCTGAATACACAGAAGCGAATAAGCAAGTTAACAGAAGCATTAGAGCCGACAAGCAGAAATATGTGGAAGAGCTAGCAACGACAGCGAAAAAGCTGCAAGAGAAAGAAATATGAAACAACTATATGACACGAGGAAGAGACGATGAAATCAGAGAGATTGGTCAAGAACAAGGAAGGCAGGACAATCACTGAGATTCAAGAACAGAAGGGTGGAACACTTCGAGGAACTCTTGAATAGACCGGTTTCATTGAATCTGTAGTGGCATTGGGCCCTAACCACACGACCTTTGAAGCCGAGCGTATAATTACTGAAAAGATTTATATTCAACAATTGACACGAAGAGAAGGTTAACGATGGAGAACGCGGGAACATTCGTTCATTTAATCAGATGGCATGGCCCAGCCTTGCAGATGTGATCAGTCTGCATAACTTGTCTTTACTCACATTAAATATATTATTCTATCTTTAGCCCAAAAGTGTTCTTCAAAAGCACTAGACGTTATGCTGCTGATTCCTGCGGTACGACAAGTCAGTGAAGGTAATGATGAGGATTCCACGGAAGATATCATAGATTAGGTAGTCACATCATGAAAAGTCTACAATTTTAGGATTAGGTCTATCATTATAGCAGTACTAATAGCGAACTAGACCATAATCCCACAAATCCACCGGATATCGAAGCAGCACCTACAGATCTTTTTATACATATCACTCCACCAACGATAGAAGAAATCAGGATGTCCATCAGACAAATCAAGAGTGAGAAAGCAGAAGGACCTGACAATTATTTATTACATATTTATTTGAACACATAAATATTGGTACAACGGGACACCGAATACATATGCCCCACACAAGTCACTTGGTTTGTGTGTGGTGCCCCAACCGAGGCAGGACCTGACAATATACCAGCCGAAGCACTAAAGTCAGACATCGGAATAACTGCAAACATGTTCCACGTTCTATTAAGGAAGATTTGAGAGGAACAACAAGTGCTGACAGACTAGAAAGGATATCTCATCAAGATACCAAACAAAGGAGATCTGAGCAGATGTGAGAACTACAGAGGAACCACACTACTATCAGTACCAGGCAAAGTTACTAACAGAGTGTTGCTGAACCGGATAAAAGATTCAGTAGACACTCAACTTCGAGATCAACAGACTGGATTCTGTGAGGATCGGCCGTGCACAGACCAAATCGCGTCACTACGGATCATCGTCGAACAATCAATTGAATGGAATTCGTCACTATACATCAACTTCCTTGATTATGAGAAAACATTTGACAGTGTGGATAGGAGAACCTTATGGAAACACCTACGACACTATGGTGAGTCCGAGAAGATCGTCAACATCACCCGGAATTCATACGACGGACTACACTGCAATGTGGTGCATGGAGGACAGCTGACAAATGCATTCCAAGTGAGGAACGAAGTCAGAAAAGGCTGCTTGCTGCCTCCCTTCCTCTTTCTTCTGGTAGTTGACTGGATTGTGAAGAGCTCGACATCAGGTGGGAAGCACGGAATAAAATGGACAAGTTGGGTGGAACTAGACGATTTGGATTTCGTAGATGACCTGGTTCTTCTGTCCTATGCACAAGAACAAATGCAGATGGAGACAACTAGTGTGACAGCAGCCTCTGCATCAGTAGGCCTCACCGTACACAAGGGGAAAAGCAGGATCCTTAAATATAACACAGAGAACAGCAACTCAACCTCACTTGGTTGAGAATCTCTGGAAGATGTGGAAACATTTACGTATCTGGGAAGCAGCACCGATGAACGAGGAGGTTCAAATGCAGACGTAAATGAGAGAATTGGCAAAGTAAGAGCCTCATCCCTTCAATTGAAGAACATATGGAACTCAAAACAACTTTCAACCAATATCGAAGTCAGAATCTTCAATAAGAACGTCAAGGCAGTCCTAGTGTATGAAGCTGAGACGTGAAGAACTACTACAACCATCATCAAAAAGATACAAGTATTTGTAAACAGTTGTCTACGCAAGATAATCAGTGTCCGTTGACCGGATACCATCAGCAACAGTCTACTGTAGGAGAGAACATACCAGGTTCTATCTGAAGAGGAAATTAGAAAAAGATGTTGAAAGTGGATTGGGTGTGCATTGAGGAAATCACCGAATTGCATCACAAGGGAATCGTGAAGGGAAACAGAGCGAAGGAAGACCGAAGAACATACTACGTCATCATCCAGCCAGAAACGCACTATGTGACTTTCTACGTTCTAGACATTTCCGGCAAAACTTTTATTGAACCCTGATTGGATAAGATGCTTCTCAGCGTTTTCAGCACCTTTCCTGGCTTTTCTCGTGGATTTTTCTGGGTCTCCTCAACAATAACCAAGTTCAATGTTCAGTTAACTGCCATCTTGTTATTTTTGGAGTGTCTACTGAAAGTGGTTACGGCAGCCACTTCAATAATACTCATTACAACGATTGTATGAATGTCCCCAGTAGTATGTGTCAAGATTTTTTCCTGTTCTTGCTCCATGAAAATTCTGTTCTAGCTCGTCATAGGCCATTCTCATTGTTGAGGATGATTACCTATACTGCTACTATGTTTATTAGCGTTCCAGAAACTTCCGGAAGCCCAAGGCCATATAAAATACTACAAATACCTTAGATTTTCTGTACATAAACAAACCTTTGGAGCAAAGTGTTTCTTCCATATTTCGCGCCTTTTCTCTCGTGATCAAGTCGCTGTGTAGAATTAACCTGGGGGTTTCTAGAAGAGCTTACGAACCGAATTTAGCGTTCAGTTAGAAGAATGATCAGTTGATGAAACATTTTTTTTCTGTTTACATACCTGGATTACTCTTTTCCCGACCGTTGTTGCTACCTTGACGTGGTGGTCGGGCTTGCCTATCGTGATGAAGCAACCGAGCTATACTGGCTGGAACAACCGTTCCGCAAGGTCCTACCATGTCAGACAGGTCGGTTGAAGAGCGGTAAGACTAAAAGCAACAAACCCAAGGTCCGAAGGCGAAGTCGTACTGCTGACTGTACAGAGGTGTGACAGCAGTAAGGTGTTTCCCTCGGACGACCAGCATGACAGCGATGCTGCCTTCCCACAAGGAGGGGTGGGGTTAGAAAAGGTCGACCCTAAAAATGCACACCTCACCTTACCTCACGGATTTCCGTCTCCGGTGGTAAGGCCCTTTGGAGAACGGAGCTAACACGTCGAAAACCTTCCACGGAAAGGCCGTGCGCGACCGGCCTCAAGCAGTTGTCCCTTGGGCACTGCGGTCACGCTCTCAGGTCACTGAGACCACCTCTAATCCAATTTCCTTTTCAGGTACCTCCAGAAGAACCCTTCCACGGTGTGGGCAACCGGGAAGTGATAACCGCCCTCATACCTCTAACAGCACCCAAGACCACTGTATTCATAATCAACCTTCCTATTCAATTCCTATTATTCCTCCTACATCGACTTTCAACCCTAAACTTCCTCCTTCGGCTTCCTCCTCAAGTGTCACCATAGCCAACGATTCTAGTGCTCAAAACTCTGTCCCAGGTCTACTGAAACTTCGCTCCAAACTACACATTGGAGCTTTCAACGTACGCACTCTATGTCAAATCGGTCAGCAGGCTTCCTTGGCTAAAACCCTAGAGTCTCTTTCCATTGATGTATGCTGTGTCTCTGAAACACGCATACAGGATCCCAGTGTGGTCATTCACCTGACCTCACCTCGGCAGAACGGAGAGCCAACGAGATACACCCTCCGTGTATCTGGTGACCCGATGGCCAGTTCTCGTGGACTGGCAGGTGTAGGCATAGCACTAAACATGAGGGCCGAACAAGCACTGCTAGAGTGGATCCCCGTCAACAGTCGTCTATGTGCTGTTCGGCTGAACGGCTACGTAAGAACTCGGAAGGATAGGGACACACGTCGTTGCCTTTTTGTCGTTTCTGTCTACGCTCCCACTGACTGCAGCTCAGATGAAGTGAAAGATGAATTTTACAGAAAGCTTTCTGAACTTCTTCAGAAAGCTAAACGCTCAGACATAGTACTCGTAGCAGGTGATTTTAATGCTCAGATAGGTAGCTTAAACCAAACAGAAAGGCATTTAGGTGGATATTTTAGTATTCCGACACAGCGAACAGATAACGGTGATCGTCTGCTGCAGCTATGCTCAGACAATCGTTTATTTTTAGCAAATACAGATTTTAAGCATAAGGAGAGACATCGTCTAACATGGCGACCCCCTACACCAAACCAACGATGGACTCAAATAGACCATATTGCCATCAGTCATCGTTGGAGAGGGTCGGTAGAAGATTGTCGCTCATTCTGGGGTACCTGCTTGGACTCCGACCATGCCCTAATACGGGCACGCATCTGCTTGCGCCTCACTGGACGCAAAAAAGCCACATTAAAAAGACCCGTTAGAACTGAGTTGAGTAACGAGAAAACCAAAAGTAGGTTCCAGGAACAACTGAGGTCACACTTAGGTAGTTGTGAAGACGAGGCTGACCCAGATGTTGCTTGGAAGAGCATACAATCAGCTGTGGAAACAGCAGTGACATCTATTAGTGACTTAAACCACAGAGTTGCAAGGAACCAGTGGATTTCTTCAAGGTCTGTCACACTGATGGATTCTCGCAAACTCGTCCCATCAGGTTCTGAACATGATGAAGAGCGAAAACAAATCAGATCTAGGTTAAGAAAAAGTCTAAGGAACGACCGTGAGCAGTGGTGGGCAACGAAAGCAAAAGAGATGGAAAAGGCGGCGACTATAGGGAACACAAGACAGCTTTACAGACTAATAAAAGAAACTGGAATTAATAAGTCAAGTGTAAGTGAGATTATTTCGGAAAAAGATGATACTCTCATCTGCTCCCAGTCCAGACGTTTAGAACGATGGGCGGAACATTTTAGAGAACAGTTCAGCTGGCCTTCAGCTACTCTACAACTACCCTCCATTCCCAGACAATGTGAATGGAACATTGAAGTAGGTCCTCCAACTCTTGCTGAAGTTCAAAAGGCTATAGTTAATCTGAAACGAGGAAGGGCAGCTGGTCCAGATGGATTGGCTCCAGAGGTCTTTAAGGATGGTGGTCCAATTTTAGCGATTAGGTTGACTAATATTTTAGCTAAGATCTGGGAATTAGACTTTATCCCATCTGACTGGTCGCAATCACTTATCGTCCCAATATATAAGAAAGGGTCAAAATCATCCTGTGATAACCACAGAGGGATTAGTTTAACAAACATAGTATCTAAAATACTGGCCTCGATAATTATCAGACACCTAACTAAGACTCGTGAACTACAAACTCGAGAGAACCAAGCTGGCTTTAGACCTGGTCGTGGCTGCATCGACCACATATTCACCATTCGTCAGGTTCTAGAACACAGGCATACTTATCGGCGTCCGACGATGGTGGTCTTTCTTGACTTAAAAGCAGCGTTTGACTCTGTAGACCGCGAGACTCTGTGGCAGTGTCTGTCATTGAAAGGTGTACCTCAGAAGTACATAAACCTTGTGAAGGCTCTTTACTCGAACACTACTAGTCGAGTCAGGGCTTATGGCGAACTGTCATCTACTTTTCCAACCTCAAGTGGTGTCCGTCAAGGCTGTCCACTTTCTCCATTTTTGTTTAACTTCGTCATAGACCTATTGATGGAAATAACACTCTCGTCGACTGAATTCTCGGGTATTGATCTCCATCCAGGAGGTCCACTTATCGACTTAGAATACGCAGATGATATAGTCCTGTTTGGTGAAGACGCTGACAAAATGCAGAGTCTTTTGGTAGCACTAAGCAACAATGCCAGAATGTTTGGGATGCGCTTCTCTCCCTCTAAATGCAAGTTGTTGCTTCAGGACTGGTCTGCGTCAACACCTGAACTAAGGATAGGGAGTGAAGTAGTCGAACGCGTCGACAACTTCACTTATCTTGGAAGTCTGATCAGCCCTAATGGGTTGGTGTCTGACGAAATCTCAGCACGGATTCGAAAAGCTCGTTTGGCTTTTGCCAACCTACGTCACCTTTGGCGGAGGCGAGATATCCGTCTATCAATAAAAGGACGAGTATACTGCGCGGCAGTCCGTTCTGTCTTACTTTACGGCAGCGAAACATGGCCTTTAAGAGTAGAAGACACCCGTAAGCTACAAGTATTTGACCACAGATGCCTTAGAAATATTGCTGGCATCTGCTGGGATCACCGGGTAAGTAATAGTGAGGTTAGACGCAGGGTATTAGGGAATGATGGTAAATCAGTTGATGAGGTTATGAATCTTCATCGACTGAGATGGTTGGGCCACGTATTACGTATGCCTGAACACCGATTACCACGACGTGCAATGCTAACCGGTGTTCGGGATGGTTGGAAGAAAGTTAGGGGCGGCCAAACCAAAACGTGGCATCAGTGCTTGAAGTCACTAACTTCTAGTCTGAGCCATGTTGGTAGATGCAGACTACTTGGTTGGGGTCCGCGTGACTATCGTAACCAATGGTTGGAGACTCTTGGTGACATGGCTCAGAATCGATCACAATGGCGTCGGTGTATACACTCCCTGTCTTCCCTTAAACTAAGATATTAAATCACTTCATATCTTTCTTTCCACGGACTAATTCTTCCTTCCTATACTATATCCTTATTGCAACCTTTGACCTAACCACTCCTATGAATCCGGTGTTCATCTTGTTGTGCTAATGAGGTATGGCAACCTGGACCGATGCACATATGTGCCTGGTCCTACGTTGTAGCTGACTGACTGACTGACTGACTGATTACTCTTTTAATGTGTTTGTAAAACAAAACTCTCTGGGATCTTGCTCAGAACTAGGTTATAGAGAAATTAGTGATGGTGGTGGTGGATTGACCACAGCAATAGAAGTTAAATATATTTTTATCTTGCAAATGCCTAGAATGAAAATAAAATGGACTAATTACTCGGGATGCTATTGGTTCTAAATTTCACCAAACAATGGCTTTTCTAGTTATAATATGTTTCGAACTCTTCATAATGGAGTTTGAGCAATTAGGTGGATAATCATATCAAGCTTCCAGATTTATAAAAACTGTCTACTTATCCATCAACAATATATAGCACCATAATATGAAAGACTTTCAAGCAATCAAAGCTGTTATAGAAGAACTACGTGACGTAGTCTGAACAGGAATATTAAGATTTCTCCAAAATTTATACCAGTAATATTTACATGCAGTAAACAACTTTACTAAGTAAAAAATCAGTTTATGTACACTAATGTGTTTTGAATGAAAGAGTGGAACTTGAAATATAGTAGATTACCCCACAGTGCCCATGTAATTTACAGATTTTGAAGGGTCTGATGGGAAAAACTTTTGGCATTGTGTCATTAGTCTTTTTATAGCTTGAATATATTTACGTTGTGTTTCATCGTTCAGAACGTGTGCTACGTTTTTGGCATAGATTTTTTCTTGCGCAGTACGTGAGTGAATACCATGATTTGTCACACCTAACGGCCAAGGAGCATTACCAATTGCTAATTCTAAATAAGCATCATTGGCCTACAAAAGAAAACAGATAAATCCGAGTAATAATCATCATACAGACATTCTTCTCTTCATAGAAAAAATTCGTCCAAGCCTGGTTTTGGAAAATATATGGGGATTAGTTGAATAATTTGGATTAATACTGTGATGAACAACACACGGTAACGTCAGTCAGTCAGTAACAACGTAGAACTTCGTACGTACGTACATCAGTTCGAGTTGCCACACCACATTAGCACAGAGATGCACTTGTCGATGAAGTATATTATTGGGCATAATAGGCTGAATAGTCTGTCTAGAAATCAAAACATTGGTTACCACTGAAAACTAACAATAGTAGACACCCATTGTACATGGACTATGAAGTTAGTAAGCTTTATAGGTTTTTTAGCAACCTGATCAAATCAGAGACAACTACTTCCTTGTTTTAGATTTATCTAGATAATTATGTATTTTAACTACCCAATGGAACTAATCGCTCCTGTAAAAAGCTTACAACCTATCATGAAGCTAAATGCAGTGGAATTCAGGCGAAACCATCACGGTGGTTGGTACTTTTTAACTGCCTGTACTTTGTAGGGACGAGGCCCGAATACATTGGAACTCATCTGCCAAATCTAGAATGCGATGAAAAAATTCCATAAGACCTAAACTGATCATAAAGTTCGTGGATAAATACGATCGAAGGATGACAACCGTTGAAAATGTCTTTTGCATATTTACTCGAATATTTGCGAGTTAAACAAATACAGGCGAAGACTATGTTGCAGTACTGCACGCAATAAGCTAAGAATTCTTAACTGTGACCAAACTTATGGTATGTGATAAGGTGAATATAATTATCATTATTTTTAACAAGCAAGAACGGGTCAACGTATCATGATGAATGTCATTTCAAAACCATACGAATTGGGAATACTTACAGATATTTAGTCACAAATGTATTAATGTGGCAATTATTAGTTTATGAAATAAAAATGTAAATGATAATAAGCTGTAAGTTTTGAATGATGTGATAATCTTCACCATTACACAATCAAAATAATTCAATTATACACAATGCTTCAACTGTACCATATATATTGGGAACAGATTACTGTTAAATAGATGTCTCCTACCATCTTGTAAAACATAATCAGCAAGTCACTAGGTGGAACTTGTACGTATTTACACGGGTTCAAGTTGCCATACCCCATTAGCACACGGAGTTATGACTGTCAGGACGAATCCCAGAATAGTAGAGGTAGTAACAGTATCAGTGGTTACACCAGATTTTGGTTTGGTGGCCCCTAGCTTTCTTCCAGCATGCTCCTACAATCGAAAATATCGCCTGTCGAGGTAAGAGGTGGTTGGGCATACGTGACACATCCCAACCACCTCAGTTGATAAAGATTTACTGCCTCATCAATCGATTTCTCATCTTTAACTAGTACTGTATTCCTAACGCAGGCATTGCTTACTCCGTGGTCCCAAAATACTCCGCCAATCCCTCGTAGGCACCTACGATTGAACACCAGTAACCAACGAATATCCTCTAATATTAATGGCTATGTTTCACATCCATTAAGTAGAACAGAGCAAACTGCTGCGCAGTAAACTTCCCCTCTTTTTGAAAGACGGATCTCTCACCTACGCCACATGTGATGCAAGTCGGAGAAAACCAATCGAGCCTTCTTACTCCATGTCGAGATTTTGTCAGACACCAGACCATCAGTACTCATGAAACTCCCAAGATAAGTGAAGCGGTTTACGTGTTCAACTACTTCAGTCTCTATCACTCATTCAGACGATGACGCAAGTCGATCCTGAAGTAACTGAGATGTGGTTGAAGGCCCGACCGTTGTTGCTACCTTGACGTGGTGGTCGGGCTTGCCTATCGTGATGAAGCAACCGAGCTATACTGGCTGGAACAACCGTTCCGCAAGGTCCTACCATGTCAGACAGGTCGGTTGAAGAGCGGTAAGACTAAAAGCAACAAACCCAAGGTCCGAAGGCGAAGTCGTACTGCTGACTGTACAGAGGTGTGACAGCAGTAAGGTGTTTCCTTCAGACAACCAGCATGACAGCGATGCTGCCTTCCCACAAGGAGGGGTGGGGTTAGAAAAGGTCGACCCTAAAAATGCACACCTCACCTTACCTCACGGATTTCCGTCTCCGGCGGTAAGGCCCTTTGAAGAACGGAGCTAACACGTCGAAAACCTCCCACAAAAAGGCCGTGCGCGACCGGCCTCAAGCAGTTGTCCCTTGGGCACTGCGGTCACGCTCTCAGGTCACTGAGACCACCTCTAATCCAATTTCCTTTTCAGGTACCTCCAGAAGAACCCTTCCACGGTGTGGGCAACCGGGAAGTGATAACCGCCCTCATACCTCTAACAGCACCCAAGACCACTGTATTCATAATCAACCTTCCTCTTCAATTCCTATTATTCCTCCTACATCGACTTTCAACCCTAAACTTCCTCCTTCGGCTTCCTCCTCAAGTGTCACCATAGCCAACGATTCTAGTGCTCAAAACTCTGTCCCAGGTCTACTGAAACTTCGCTCCAAACTACACATTGGAGCTTTCAACGTACGCACTCTATGTCAAATCGGTCAGCAGGCTTCCTTGGCTAAAACCCTAGAGTCTCTTTCCATTGATGTATGCTGTGTCTCTGAAACACGCATACAGGATCCCAGTGTGGTCATTCACCTGACCTCACCTCGGCAGAACGGAGAGCCAACGAGATACACCCTCCGTGTATCTGGTGACCCGATGGCCAGTTCTCGTGGACTGGCAGGTGTAGGCATAGCACTAAACATGAGGGCCGAACAAGCACTGCTAGAGTGGATCCCCGTCAACAGTCGTCTATGTGCTGTTCGGCTGAACGGCTACGTAAGAACTCGGAAGGATAGGGACACACGTCGTTGCCTTTTTGTCGTTTCTGTCTACGCTCCCACTGACTGCAGCTCAGATGAAGTGAAAGATGAATTTTACAGAAAGCTTTCTGAACTTCTTCAGAAAGCTAAACGCTCAGACATAGTACTCGTAGCAGGTGATTTTAATGCTCAGATAGGTAGCTTAAACCAAACAGAAAGGCATTTAGGTGGATATTTTAGTATTCCGACACAGCGAACAGATAACGGTGATCGTCTGCTGCAGCTATGCTCAGACAATCGTTTATTTTTAGCAAATACAGATTTTAAGCATAAGGAGAGACATCGTCTAACATGGCGACCCCCTACACCAAACCAACGATGGACTCAAATAGACCATATTGCCATCAGTCATCGTTGGAGAGGGTCGGTAGAAGATTGTCGCTCATTCTGGGGTACCTGCTTGGACTCCGACCATGCCCTAATACGGGCACGCATCTGCTTGCGCCTCACTGGACGCAAAAAAGCCACATTAAAAAGACCCGTTAGAACTGAGTTGAGTAACGAGGAAACCAAAAGTAGGTTCCAGGAACAACTGAGGTCACACTTAGGTAGTTATGAAGACGAGGCTGACCCAGATGTTGCTTGGAAGAGCATACAATCAGCTGTGGAAACAGCAGTGACATCTATTAGTGACTTAAACCACAGAGTTGCAAGGAACCAGTGGATTTCTTCAAAGTCTATCACACTGATGGATTCTCGCAAACTCGTCCCATCAGGTTCTGAACATGATGAAGAGCGAAAACAAATCAGATCTAGGTTAAGAAAAAGTCTAAGGAACGACCGTGAGCAGTGGTGGGCAACGAAAGCAAAAGAGATGGAAAAGGCGGCGACTATAGGGAACACAAGACAGCTTTACAGACTAATAAAAGAAACTGGAATTAATAAGTCAAGTGTAAGTGAGATTATTTCGGAAAAAGATGATACTCTCATCTGCTCCCAGTCCAGTCGTTTAGAACGATGGGCGGAACATTTTAGAGAACAGTTCAGCTGGCCTTCAGCTACTCTACAACTACCCTCCATTCCCAGACAATGTGAATGGAACATTGAAGTAGGTCCTCCAACTCTTGCTGAAGTTCAAAAGGCTATAGTTAATCTGAAACGAGGAAGGGCAGCTGGTCCAGATGGATTGGCTCCAGAGGTCTTTAAGGATAGTGGTCCAATTTTAGCGATTAGGTTGACTAATATTTTAGCTAAGATCTGGGAATTAGACTTTATCCCATCTGACTGGTCGCAATCACTTATCGTCCCAATATATAAGAAAGGGTCAAAATCATCCTATGACAACCACAGAGGGATTAGTTTAACAAACATAGTATCTAAAATACTGGCCTCGATAATTATCAGACGCCTAACTAAGACTCGTGAACTACAAACTCGAGAGAACCAAGCTGGCTTTAGACCTGGTCGTGGCTGCATCGACCACATATTCACCATTCGTCAGGTTCTAGAACACAGGCATACTTATCGGCGTCCGACGATGGTGGTCTTTCTTGACTTAAAAGCAGCGTTTGACTCTGTAGACCGCGAGACTCTGTGGCAGTGTCTGTCATTGAAAGGTGTACCTCAGAAGTACATAAACCTTGTGAAGGCTCTTTACTCGAACACTACTAGTCGAGTCAGAGCTTATGGCGAACTGTCATCTACTTTTCCAACCTCAAGTGGTGTCCGTCAAGGCTGTCCACTTTCTCCATTTTTGTTTAACTTCGTCATAGACCTATTGATGGAAATAACACTCTCGTCGACTGAATTCTCGGGTATTGATCTCCTTCCAGGAGGTCCACTTATCGACTTAGAATACGCAGATGATATAGTCCTGTTTGGTGAAGACGCTGACAAAATGCAGAGTCTTTTGGTAGCACTAAGCAACAATGCCAGAATGTTTGGGATGCGCTTCTCTCCCTCTAAATGCAAGTTGTTGCTTCAGGACTGGTCTGCGTCAACACCTGAACTAAGGATAGGGAGTGAAGTAGTCGAACGCGTCGACAACTTCACTTATCTTGGAAGTCTGATCAGCCCTAATGGGTTGGTGTCTGACGAAATCTCAGCACGGATTCGAAAAGCTCGTTTGGCTTTTGCCAACCTACGTCACCTTTGGCGGAGGCGAGATATCCGTCTATCAATAAAAGGACGAGTATACTGCGCGGCAGTCCGTTCTGTCTTACTTTACGGCAGCGAAACATGGCCTTTAAGAGTAGAAGACACCCGTAAGCTACAAGTATTTGACCACAGATGCCTTAGAAATATTGCTGGCATCTGCTGGGATCACCGGGTAAGTAATAGTGAGGTTAGACGTAGGGTATTAGGGAATGATGGTAAATCAGTTGATGAGGTTGTTAATCTTCATCGACTGAGATGGTTGGGCCACGTATTACGTATGCCTGAACACCGATTACCACGACGTGCAATGCTAACCGGTGTTCGGGATGGTTGGAAGAAAGTTAGGGGCGGCCAAACCAAAACGTGGCATCAGTGCTTGAAGTCACTAACTTCTAGTCTGAGCCATGTTGGTAGATGCAGACTACTTGGTTGGGGTCCGCGTGACTATCGTAACCAATGGTTGGAGACTCTTGGTGACATGGCTCAGAATCGATCACAATGGCGTAGGTGTATACACTCCCTGTCTTCTCTTAAACTAAGAGATTAAAATGACTTTATATCTTTCTTTCTACTAACTAATTCTTCCTTCCTATACCATATCCTTATTGCAACCGTTGACCTAACCACTCCTATGAATCCGGTGTTCATCTTGTTGTGCTAATGAGGTATGGCAACCTGGACCGATGCACATATGTGCCTGGTTCTACGTTGTAGCTGACTGACCGACTGACTGACTGACTGAGTTGAAGGCCAGTTAAACTATTCCGTAAAGAGTTCCGACCATCAATTCAAGCTCCTGGATTGAGAGTGAATAATGGTCCCATATTTTCCAAGACAGTTTCACCAACAACCACATCTAAATACTCGTTTCCTTCATAATTCTGAACAGTTGTCTACTTTTACCTATCACTGCTGACTTTTCCATCTCTTCTGCATTCGCTACTCACCACTGCTAACGATCATTACGTAGGTTTTTTATCGGCCTACATTTAACGTGTTCCGCTTTTGAACTTAATGCCATATCTACACCTACGAAGCCATGGGAAGTAGCATTGGGGTCTCCAGATACTCGAAGAGTAAGTCATGCCAGTCCTTTATATTGGCAAGGTGAGGTCAAATGAATGACCATATGATGTGTGGGCGATGATGATAATGACTGGTTGTTTGCTTAGTCAGACTAGTAGATAGTCTGACAGGTACTAGATGAGTTATATATTCTATTACCCTTATTATTACTGTGATTGATGAAAGATTGCTGTCGGTTTTTGGCATGGAAATATATTCGCGTTCTAGTCAAGCTTATCGCGTGTTCTTGGTCTGAGTTGTGTTAAAGTCCTATAAAACAGACGCTGAGAGGGAATCTAGTGTAGATATTCGTCTAAGGCAAATTAACGTCCCATCCGTGTAGACGAGCAATCCTACCGTTACAGCACTGTACGGGGAACCTGTATCCGCATTTTGGAAACGCAGCACATATCGATGACGCGGGGTTCTTGAGTTCTATTTAAACAAGCCTGTGTTCCTGTCTGACACAAGGTTCGAACATTAAAAGCTCCAACATGCAGTTTCGAGCGTGGTTTCAAAAAACTGGAAATAATATTTCGTTAACTCAAATCATTCACACTGGTGGCGCGTGGTGATACAGATCAATCAAAGGGGTTAGTCACGGAGATGGAAGAACTATTAAAAGGTGAGAGAGCGATTCAATCGTCAACAAGATGATCTTGGATGCTGATAGAAGCATGAGTGTGGTCGTCACTTCCCGATTGCACAAATCGTGGGAGGACATTTATTCTTGAGGGATTTGAGAAAGAAGCTGAATTAGTGGCGAGTTAGCTCCACACTTCTAATAGCCTCACTGCCGGAGACGGAAATCCGTGGGGTAAGGTGAGGTGTGACATTTCTAGAATCGACCTTATCTAACCCCTCCTTCCGTTGTGGGAAGAGAGCAGTGTTGGAGATGCCGGTTGTCCGAGGTAAACACCTCACTGCTGTCGAATCCTTCCACAGTCAGCAGTTTGACTTCAACCTCGGACCTTTAGTTGTTGCTTATAGTCTTACAGTTCTCCAACCAACCTGGCTGACATGATAAGACCTAAAGATACATGCGTTTTAGCCAGTATAACTCAGTTGAGTCATCATGATAGGCAAGCCCGACCACCACGTCAAGGTAGCAGCAACAGTCGCGATGAAATATCATACAAGTGGATGAAACCTGAGGAAATGAAATAATGACATGGAGTAAAAGTTATTTTATGGAATTAGTGTGATCAAGATCAATGATTATTCAGTAAGAAGGAAAAACACTAGTATGCTGATATATCGACCCGATATTAGTTTATTTCATCACAATCCAGAAAAAACACTTAATAATTGCCTATCTATTTCATAAAACATAAAAAGCAGAAAGACAGCCCAACTAACCTTTAGGTAGTTCCGATCAATCATCAAAACCATGATTTTAACCAAAGAATTCAAAATATCATCTTTGCAACGCTAAAATGAATGTGATACTGTTAATGAATGAATTGACTTACATTATTCTGAAGTGTACGAAGAAGTGGTTTAATATACTCTACTGTTTGGGTATATGTTGCACTAGCCATTTTTCCAGAATAAGATAGTTTTTCTTCTTTAGTTCTAGTATTCAAAGCATGACCCCATTTTGACAAGAGGAACTAACCGAAAAAAAATCAGCTTGCAGTGTAACAAACTATCATGTCATTGAATAACTATGCAAAAATGAGAAAGTTCGTATAAATAATCCTTTACAAAAAAATTATAAGGAATAGGGAGATTATCACTTGCTTTTATAATCAAGAAAAGATCGCATTGTGAACCAACTCGTTATTAACCAAATCTTACTGTTACTAAATATGGTTAATTCGGCTAAAAGTGATATCCTCATACTTAACTAAATTTTTAAACAGATTTAAGACAACCAGTGACTTCAGCATGCATATATATTTACTGACCGTGGAATGCTTGTAGACCAGTAAATGGCATCTAGTAACTGAGCAAGAATAGGAACTCGCAACGAATTATATGCAGTTGGGTCTTCTTTAACCAGACACAATGCAATTTACTACTAAAAAACAGGCGGGTATATACGACTCGACATAAATGGAAAAGACAGAAAGATACAGATTTATTTGGTAGGACACAAAAACTTACAACTGTACATTTAAACTTGTAACAGTTCGTGAAGTTACAAAAACAAAAGGCATTAGGGCACAAACAAAATGGAAATGAGTGGAAACAAAGTTATTTATTTTCGTGCAACTGAGTCAGCAAAAACTCCCCAGTCACATCCATAACCATAAAACTTAGGCTACTCCTGGACCCAGATCTGGTGGTTCACTGTCGTCATATAATCAGAACGATTTGTAATCTAAATCTCAACCTGAAATGCTTTTACGAATGATTACAATAATTAATAGTCAATCACTATCCAATCGTATTGTATACCATCAGTTTCTACAGTTAACCAGCTTACTTTTCATGATAAGCTGTGAAGAATGGGAAGAAACTATTTCTATAATGATTGTTGAAAACACAGGACACATGGTATTAACGACTAGTTATCAAACTCATTAATCATTTACTGAAGCGACATTCACACTTGAGCAACTAAAAGAAATACTAGAGACTGCATACTATCAATGTAAAATAAATAATTACATAGATTAAATAAATAAACTCCTGTAGAATCCCTAGCATCTGGATATTTATCTTAAACAAGGTTAGAATCTATATTCATGATATAAAGATCATTTAAACACCGACTAGTCGTTTTACTCCTGTGAATACATGTTAGCAGTTTGTCTGTAACAACTTTCTTATGTAAAAACTTACAAGATGAAACTGACTACAAATTGTGTAACGTACGATTTCCACGCAGTGAAATCAGCAGGTTATTGAACGTGCAATTAATTTGGGACTTCGGATATTGGTCAGTTATCTATCTGTTACGACAGCTACCTCTGTGTTGACATTCGTAAAACATTACCAATTCTAGCTTTCCTTGTATTTTTCTTCGTTTTCTTTTATTTCTTTCATATATTGAACCCACATTACCAATAAAATCTGACATATTTGTCACTGCTGTATCTCAGAGAGCGAAAACAGTATGTCAGCTATTTTTTGGTCTCTGTATTTATCACATAATCTGACCAGCAGTAATATGATCATAAGCTTTGTTTTGTTACAAGTGAAACCTTCAGGGTACCTAAGGGCTTGTTTTGTGTGTGCTGTGTTCTGGTTGGATAAACTAACTTGATAACGAAAAGCCATTTACCGCATCTTTAAACTTGAAGTCAGAAAACTTGGAGTAAATCTTGACGGGGGTGTCTTGAGTGAATAAGAGCCATCCATAAATTCCGTGTTTTTCATTAATTTCGCTTCATAATTAGTTCCAACAACTGACCTGTTACTTTGACCAATATTTTCATTTATCACTTATTTTTAATAACATTGGAATTTGAACTAACAACATACGAATAATGCTCAAGTTGGTTCACGAAGAAACACTATCTCAAGCACATTGTAGCCGACGAATTAACATGGCGAAAGTGATTTTCACTTATTCACTACAAGGTAAAATTCACAACCATATGTTCACCATGGAAAGGAGTCATAAAAACTCAAAACCATAAACAATAAGGGATCTGGTAAGGTTACGCTTGGACATTTCACCATACCCTGCATGCCATAAGATTGGATTCATTGTAATTAAGTTTTTAAAGTACAATGGATTTATCACTAGTAAAACATAATTCAAACTGATAAAAATATTTTGGCAAATATGCGGTTATTAAAGATTGAGAAGCTCACCTTCAAGTAGCGAAGGGTGTGATCGATCACTTGATCATGAAACCCCTCGTCAAAATCATTGGTACATACAATATTTGGGGCGAGTTTACTAATAGTAACAACCGCAGTCGTTGCGTCATCAGTAGCAGTACCCTCTTTCATTGTGACGTAACGGGCTAAATCTATCTTTATCTTCTCAAGTTCGTCTTCTGTTAATACATTTTCTTTTGTTTTTACATCCAGGGTAGAGGTTGATGAGCTATCAACGGACTGAGATTCAGAAGCTGATTTTCCACGACCTGAGGTATAAAACTCTTCATCCTCAGCGTCATCTAACTAACAACAATAATAGGAGTTCTAATAAACTACCTTATCTAATGCTGCAATTAGATCATTGCGCAATCCTTTTGATTCAGGTTCTAAAAGTTGAACCCTTTTCAACCGTTGGAAAGTGTCATAGTCACTTTCACCGAATAATCGTATGGGTTGATTACGTTCCCTTAGAAGACGAATAACCTAAAAACGAAGTTTCAGAAGAACACACGAAATTACTTCTTTACGAGGCATAAGCTTCCCTTTTTCTCTTTCTTCCCGATTTCTTTCTTCGAACTTTTTCAACAAGAGATCCTCCTCCTCTGTCTATCAAAAACATTATCCACTCGGAAATGGACACACACTTTAATTCTAAAATTATAATCCTCATTGTTGTTCGCTTGTTCTTTAATGCGCTTGGATTTGCTGAAATATTCCTCTTCTTCCTTTTGTTTTAACAGTGAACGCTTAAAGAACTTTTTATCACACTTCATCTAAATTACGACGAAAACCAGGATTTTTATACATACCAATCCGCTGTTAACTAGCTTCTCACGTTGCCTCGCTATTTCTGCTTTGACGAGATCCATTGTAGGAACAATTACTTCTGTAAAATGCAAAGCATTACAACCTAAGATTTTCAAGGTTTTTACATAAATTGTCTTGATTTACAATAGGATTGTTGAAAATAGGCGGGATTCGCGGCATTATAACAGCACGATAACTATGTTTTTGATCATAAGCCACGAAAATACGTAGTCATTAGAATAAATACAATATTACCCGACGTCCTGCTTTTGTGGTACTAAATTTCCATACGTTAACTTGTGTTTATAGTGGAAAACAAATACAGTCACATGTGATAAAAAAATAATTGACTGGGTAACGACCACTTCAGTGTGACTTAAAAAATCACCGAGGCGATAATTTCTATTAATGCAAGGCTCACTTCTCTGGTATTATTCATTACTATGTTTGGAAGCTTGGACGGGCTTGGCTTATCAAAACCAAATGAAGTTTACGATAAAGCCAGTTTATGACCTCGTGATATTTTTTAACAAGTTGTGAAATCATGGAACAGTAAGAGCATACCGTTTTCGACTTGTGATGAGTACCTCTTTCTTTGCTCAGATTTCATATCAAGTAAGAACGACAAGAAAATTAGCCATAAGTACATATGCTTTTAATAATTGAACTGGTAACAGAAGGCTAAACTACTAATTAATACTCAGTTCTTGGAAAAAATGATGTTTAGAGGAAATCATACCATACCTAGTCTTTTCCACCATTATGGACACATCACTTCTATTTTATGGCTTGTCTTACTAATTATATTTTACTGTTTCAATGTAGCACGACAAATCTAACTGGTTTACAAGTGCCAGGTACTACGTAGTATTATCATGGAGTTCTACATTACATATTCAAAGTACAAAATACAGTTTGGTTTTCTGCACAAACCGTCTTTCCAACATTCCTAGCTGGTGAAATCTTGAAGTGGTTTCAAGGTAAACTCTCATAAAGACTAAGTAAAGTGTGATTAACATACACTGCGCCTCTAAAACTAAAAGTATGAACATGCCTTTGTGGACTCAAGCCATTTACGCTTCTAAGGAGCAGAAATCATGAGTACGAAACAAAATCAACACTCAAAGTGAAAAGATAAGAGAGCGGAATCAGACGAGACTATAATTTATGGACGGAACAATTAGATTTACAGTAACAGGTCTTGAATTTTGGCGCGAAACTAATTTATTCATGTAGCTAAACAGAGTTCTGACATTATAGTCGATGTAAGTTCGTGAAGAAAACCCTAAATCTAATTTCTAACCCCATCTATCAACTGTAAATATTGATCCTAATTCCTCACACTGGTTTATAACCCTCATTTAACCTCAGCATGTAGATGGACATTCTCAAGGTCTTCTTAGAGCCACTTAAAGGTTGTCCACAAATTATAGTCTCACACAGTTCTGACTTCCTATTCTTAATTGCTATGTGAATGTGTTCCACAAAGCAAAAGATGATATGGTTTGTGCACCATTGTAACGAATATTAGGTTGAAGCTCATTTTAGGCCTCAAAAGCATTAAAAAAATATGGGCGAAAGCACTGCAGAAATATCTAAGCATATCTTAGAAACGTCAAATTTATGGACTAATAGCTTACTAGCGCTACTACATATCAACATTTTTGAGTGGGTTTCTAGTTTATCCACGAGGTAGACAGTACTCATCGTTAAAGACTTCCACCTTCACTGGACCAGAATATCCGTAAATAAAACATTCAGTTACTCACATTTGTCAGACGGCTTAAACTTCTAACAGCATATAAGATTTAGCTTGATTATGGTTTGACTGGAGGCCAGAATAAAATATCAAAGGAACGGTGGCTTCTATAGGGATATTACTTTACATACCTTGAACACAGAACGAATTTTCCGCCAAAAGATACAATAGGCAATATCTTAGTGTCAATGGTGGTCTCTCACTTGGCAACTGTTGAATTCTAGGTCGTTCAGATAATTTCTCCGGGTCATTTTGAATCTCTTAACCATCACCTGCATTTTTTACTGCTTTTCATATCTTGATATTAAATGTTTCAAATAGTTCAAATGGTTCTGGACGGAATAGAAGAATCTTTCGTTTAATGGGCTTCCATATCTAGAAGCAGTGAATCACCGATGCCTCCAGGTAAGACCCTAGGAATATTTAACGGTAAAAGAGAAGGGAATTAGGTAAATTATAGTGAGATACTGTCCTTGATCCTTTAGAATATGTCAAGTTTTCTCTCGGAGAGTTCTCGAGAAGTAGCTTGAACTAGTTCGTCTGGAAACGAATCTTAGCACTTGACTACCCTAAAGGAGCATGAGATGCGCATACTTACCGTTCTTCCATGTTGCGTCTTCAGTTTCTAGGTGTTACCCCTAAGGTTTGTATTGGGACTAGGTTTAAGTGGTGCTAAAGGGGATGCTCAGAATTGTTTAGCATACTATAAGTCATTAGAATGTCACCTCAAAGAAGCCTGTACACTAGTGAGTGGGGGTTCGGTGATTGGAGGCGTTTTCCATAAGACTTGAATTTGAGATCCTGAGCTGATTTCATAGCTGGCCGTTGGATACGTCCCAATGTGTCCTTATTCTTTTAGAGCGAGGGGGAAACACTATGTTTCCGCACTTTAAATGGAAATGAATAGAACTGTTGAAAATTGTCTGGAACGTTCTCCCATCACACTGGCCGAAAATGCCCTTCAACGTTACCAATGCAGAGTTTGCTCGAAAGGCTTCAAATCGTAGGGTATCAACACTATTAGATCTTTTTAAACTCGGGATACCTCTAGAGAGGAGTTACCTAAGTGTTTTCGTAGTCTGAAACATGGACTACTTTATATTTTGACTTGTTAAAGGAGAGTCTGTTGTCATCTGCCCAACTGTGAAGTCGAGTCAAACCCTCCTGAAGTACCGGTTTATCCTCTTCGTTGCATATTTTTCTCCAGAGTTTCACATTTTTAGATGTGAAGTGAACCAATCAGTCAGAGGTGATTTGATACCTAATCCTTTGAGCCTAGTGATAAGACACATGTGGTTGACCCTATCAAAGGCTTTTGAAAAGTCAAGACATATTACGTCAACCTTCGCCCTGAGACCAAGGATGGTTGTCCATCTGTCCTACGCGGCCAATAGGTTAGTTATACAAGAGTGACCTCTGAAACCGTGCTGTTCGAGTAGAAAGAAGTTTATAGGTAGCGAATAGTCTTGTATACCGTCACATATCAGGAACTCCATAAGTTTCGAGGATATAGAGAAAAGTGCAACTGGTTGGTGGTCTGAAGATTCTCTGCATCGACCTTTGAAAATTAGTGTGATGTGAGCCAGCTTCCGATTTTCCAGTAATACTCCTCGGCCTAATGAATGTGGGAGCATCACTGGTGGGGACGGTATATCCCCAAAATTCATATTTGTAATTTTATCATATCGATTAACTTATCGATTAAATGTTTAAATATTTGAATGGAAGTCAGTGGATGAACTTATCGACTAAATGATTAAATAGCAGTCAATTGACGAACTTATCGATTAAATATTTGAATGCCTGTCGATTGATAAACATAATGAGTCATGTTTAAAAACATTTTACTATGAAAATATCGATTACATACATTTGTATATATACGTTTCAAATTGTGTTTGTGGGCTTACTCGTTTTCTAGCTGTTTGCAGAATAAATTTTCCATACCAAGCTTGGACTTCTTCTAGATAGCGGGGCTGGGACGCGTCAATAGCTGGATTACTGGTCTTTGGTCACTGAGTCTTGTTCTCGTTCGCCGATTAAGTGAACTCGTGAAGCTCCAAACCTAATAATCACGCTAAGCGGTGTTGCCAAGATTGAAGTTGCTTCCCTCATATCCAGACCAGGAGAAGTATTTTGTTTGGGTGCTGCAGTTTCCCGTACACCAAGTCAATGCTCATTTCCATTTCTGAAAGTCCTCTGGAGTTGTAGATGAAACTTTTATCAATATACTTAGTTCTAGTCGGTTGAAATGTCCAAAAGTATTGTTTTACTAGAAGGTTAGCGGCGTCGCCATTGTTGTTGGTAGAGTGCGGTTCTTGATGACTGTAGGTTGCTTTTCGATTTTAAGGACCGTTAGCGGAACAGACTGCTTTGTACATTGGGATATCCCAAAGAGCATCAACATCAAGTTGAGGGTGAACTTTCCAGTCCACCTGTTGTTGATTGTCTGTAAAGATGGAACATCTAACCATTTGAAATTCCAACGCCTGTTGTTCGTAGGATGTATGAGACCAGTTTTTCTGATAAGATTGAAGACTATGACGGCTTTACCACTTTTAATCAGAAGAGTTGTTAATTAGGAATTCCTCGTTTGTAAGTACGCAGTCTAAGAGCGACGGCGTTTCTAACTTGACATTTTCGAATAACCCCAGATCTTCAGTGACTTTGAATAACCGAGCTTCAGTAGAGTAATCAGCACCAGTATAAGTATGTTCAGCGTGGTTCAGTTTAAGAAGGTTGAATTCCACCAAAATCAGGAAATAAGTGCGTTCGTGATGCGTAGAGCGGTATAATCCCACTGGGCTTTATGTAGATTACCCTAACTAGACATCTCGGGGTGTTGAACGATCGTACTGAGCACCAAACAGATTCATCAAGTTCGATAAACTCTTGGGTTTTCACTTGATGTGCTACCAAGCATGATCGAAAGTACAGGGCTACTCCACCTCCATTCCTGTTTTTTCTGTTGTTGTGAACCAAAGACATGTTGTGTATTACTTGCTCCCGGTCTGTAATTTTGGAAGATAGCCATGTTTCAGATATTCTTTTCAGATGAGTATTAATAATCTTACTTGGTTCATGCAACTCATCCATTTTATCGGCTAAACTTACGACGTTCATATATAGGCAGTTTATGCTTTCAATTTGAAACGCATGAGCTTTCTCGTCCTGTTAATCTTTATGAACCTTATTTGAATGGACAAGTAACCTACCCACGTAGAAATTTTCGAGTTGGTTACCCCTGTTCCTTCTATATTTTTTCCATGATCTTGACAGTCCACAAGTTGAATAGTCAGTTCCAACTTATATGTTTATTAAAAATGCATACTGCAAAACAATAAATATTGTAATTTGTAGATCATGCCTGTAAAAATGACGTGTACCTGCCATTGCATAAATATATTATTATCAAGTTGCTTTTGTTCTTGTACCTTACATCATGTGGCCTGTCCAGATGCATGTGGATCACAGTTGGCAACAGAAGTCTATTGGCACCCGCCATACGGGTGGATTAAAATGCTGTCTTCACTAGCTGGAGTCTAAAATCCCCATTCTTGACTGGTTGCACCCCTTGTTGAGTAAATGTGTTCTTGAGCTTTAAGGACTGTGTTGTGAATTTCCACTCAAGAATATAAAAGTCTACGTAGTTAAGATCAGTGTTTTCTGAGAAACCTCACACAATGGTACTTTTTCGCTAAAGCGAGTCTCGCAAAACTCGTTAGGGATGTTTCTGATGACATTGTGATCGGAATATAGTATATCAGGCATCATTCTTACGTTCCCTTCTGATTCCAGCTGGTGACTTGCTGGCAGAACATCCTCTACGGTGCCAGTGTTGATGGACATTACATGAAGGATTCATGGGTAATTTTCGTTCTTGTAGTCCCCTGAGTGAGCGCTGTGACCGTCATTAGCTCAATTATGGATAGTTTGGAATTCCTGTTCTTAGAGCATACTGTCGTTTATGTCCTGCAGACTAAGAGGAAGGTTTAGGCTCTCTTTAAGGTTCATGATTATGAGAGAGTCATCTAGAAAAGTAATCACCTTTCCAGATTTACTGGCTGATTGTGATCGGAATCCTATTTGTTTTACAGGTGAATTTCGTTTCGAATTCTCGTACTCTTTGCTGACTGGTCGGACAATCTTAGGGGTAAATTACACGGTCAAATCACTAACTGACTTCACTACAAGATCTGAGCCGTTCAGCCTTTTTGATGATGACACTCGATCTTTTTTTAACTTTTTTGATAGAGGGTCCAAACGCCTATATAACTTTTTGGGACCACAGTTCCATTTACGGAGCCTGTGCCGAGAGAACCAATTTTGCTGAGAGAGTCTAGCATCATTGGTGTTATTAGGGTACTGAGCTGAAGCATATCCTCAATAGTGTCGATGCGTGTTCTGTCGGTACTAATGTTGTTAAAGACTCCATTCTTTACTTCATTGTGCGTCCTTGTTTGTTTATCCGTCTCAGTGCTGCCCTTTCAGATTTATCAACAACGTTTTTGGCAGACCTGTCAAGATAATGATGTTACTTAGCAAAACCTCAGCACTCATGTTGCACGTACCACATATCCACTAGCTATCTGACTTGCCAAGTCTGTTGAGAGAAGTTACTGTAAGATCTGTGCATACTTCATGAAATCAACTTTTGTATTTGTCACAATGAACCACATGGGTGGTAGAAAAACTGCATCCTGATCGTTTGCATGAGTTGTTTATGATAGTTGTAATCTCCCGTACGTTAAACCCGAAAAATGATACTTTTGTTGCATAAGAATACATCACGTTAGCAAATCACCATCAGCATATGACACGACTGATGGTGATAGGAGACTACTTACTTACTTACTTACGCCTGTTACTCCTCGTGAAGGAGCATAGGCCGCTCACCAGCATTCTCCATCCAACCCTGTCCTGGGCAATCCTTTCCAGCTCCTTCCAG